TGGTGATTTCCGAAATAGCTATCACTTCTACCATTTTTTCAAATTATTGTTGCTTTTCCACAATAAAAGTTTTCATTTAAAACGGCCTCGAGCTCAATATAAATTGTTGAATATTATTGTAATAAAGGCCAATAAAATAACAAAAACAAAAACAAAATTACTTAAAATCTTTAAATATGTATCTTGATTTTTTTTCTGTAGAATACGTATTCATTTTTTTAACCGATTTTAAAAAAAGCGAGGACATTCGGGTCTACGTAACCAGAACGACCGGAATGCGCATTGAAGTCGGTTTTTTTTGCTTAAAATTACTTGTTATTATTGAAATACAGTTTCGCTACTATTTAGAGATTTCTCGACATACTTGTTCACATTTCTCTTATTTATTATTTTTCTTATTAGTCATTTATAGGTTCAGGACTCTATCCGCTTTCAGACACGTCAAGTCTTGAAAGCAATTTTTATCGCATTCTCTTTTGTGTTTTCTCTTTGCTTCCACACGCGTCAAGTTTTATTGAATTCAAGTCCTAGGATATTTAAATGGGAAGCAACGAAAAGATCAAAAGGGAACAAGAAAACTTGAAACGAATTGACGGTAGGGAGGTATCTGTACTCTTCCCACCTCCTTCGCCAACGAACGAGCAGACTTGAAAGCAAGACTTGACGTGTCTGAAAGGGGACCAACTGTGGGTGCTTTAAGATTCATTTTGTAAATATGGACAAAAACAATTGCGATATTTTAGATTATGGATTTTATTCGTGCAATTTTTTATGTTTAATATTTTTGAGAACACATTTTGGTTTTGTTGTATGCTTTTATTGCATGCCTTCAACTTTTTTACTTTAAGTTATTATGGTGAAGATATGCCTTCAGCCTTTGTCAAGCACTTAAGCTAGGTGCGTGAAATTTAGCCTATGCGCGTAAAAGCATGGAATAGGTATACGGTTGTGTTGCCGCGATTCTCCAACATCTTGTCAAAGTAGAATACATGTTGGTGGCTATTACGGAATTCATCGTAGTCCGATTTTTCATAAAATCTACGAAAAAGCGATCACTGAATCTGAACTGCTACGAATGTGTATATTCAAAGCATACGCTGCGCTCGTAGCTACTTGAATTCAATAGCATTTTCGTAGATTTCACGAAAAATCGGACTATGATGGATTCTGTGATAGCCTTGATTAGGGCGTGCGATTATCGTGCCCCAGAAACTCCAACAAACGACAAATGGACTCTCCAATAATAGTCGAACGTAAATGACTAACGTGCACCTATATGAGATACGTTGCTTGCGGCAAGTTGGCAGGTTAACGCCAGACCGTAAGAGGTTGGAAATCACACGAACAGCATAATCCTTACATTTGATAATAAAATTGTTGTAAATATTTGCACTAACATAACTATAAATTGTATACCTTTTGAGAAACACATTAATGAAGCGAGCACTTGCAACCTCAATTTAAGCCACAAGTAGCGATTGAACACCATGTTTATTTATTTCGTTGGCCATATCTCTGGGCGATTTATTTGTGCCAGCAGCCTTTAGTGTTTTTGCCAATGACATGGCACGATTGCACTGATAATAACAAAATTTAGCCGCAGTTGCATTCACACGTGATATAATAGCTGGTGTAGGCAAGCTGTAGGAATTCCCAGGATATGGCGTGTGAGGCACCGACGGCGGTGGGCAGTATCGCTGGTACATATTTACCAAAAACAGAAGTGGTTGAGGCGTTTTGTTCTGCTACAATAGCCTGCAATGATGACATGTCCTATAATGTCGACGAACATAGATATAAAATTGAAAATGACTAACCTTATTCAGAATTGCTAATCCATGTTTTAGCTTCATGTTCTCAGTTTCCAACGTTGTGTTCTCTTGATCATCTTCAATTTCAAGTCCCTCGTCATGTTTTATATTTTCTATTTATGTACGAAAGTGGGCTGTCAGATGCTCTACATATACAAATAAAAAAATGTTTAACATGCTCTACATGTAGCTGGAGCTAATGGCCAATATATTGCAACCACACTTATTGCTGCAGCGGCAGCGAGAGATTTCGAAGATTTCGAGATATTAGGTGCGTTCGACAAGTCAAAAATTTGTAATAGTTTTCCAAATTTTTACTGGATGGCGTTCGATAACGACAAAAAATTATCCAACACACAAAAATGGAGAGAGCAAGCGTTCATTTTGATGCAAGAGAAGCGTTCATTTTGTACTGGCAAAATTTTAGTCAGCAAAAATTATCCAACACGAAAACATATGATCACAAAACATATGGTTGCAATTTTTGTAAACAAACAAATTTGCATTTTCTGAGTTTTGGTATTTATATGCTTTTTGGCTGCCTGCTATGTGACTTTATGATAGCGCCAACTAGTTTTTACTTCTAGAAATGTTCCTGGCGAACATTGAACGTTCACTTTCCTTTTTTCTTCTATGGAGGCAACATGAATTTCAGTTTGTTTACAAATAAAACATAAACAAAGTCAGCTGGTGTGTCTTCTTCTTCCGGTTTTTGCAAGTAATGGCTAATTTCCTGTTCGTTTACTTTTTTGCTTTTTCATCTCTTTGGGAGAGAATTTTCGCTTACTCTCTTGATTTTGATTGTTGGCTGGTGTTGGCTAATTTTGTTATCGAACGCAACTTACGTCTTGGCTGTGAATGAGAAAATAGGACATGAATTGGCACTGTGGAATTCTAATGCTCACATTATACATAGATATATAGATGTGAGGGGATTCCGGCTGATTTGGAAGACCACCTTTGGTCACGTCCAAAACGTACTTACCAAGAAGAAAACCCGCAGGGGTTGAAGTAGTTTTCCTTGCAATCAGCGTTGATGATGCTTTGCTTGTAATTTGTGGTCTGAAAATAAAGAAAATTGCATTAATAAAATGTTAAACACATCAAATCAATAAATTTCAATAATTTTTGCCATTTCACAAACCGAATTACCAACACAGTATATGTATACAATAATAAACCTTTTCGCAGTTCTTCACCAATTGGTCCCCGAGGAGTACTTTTGGGTTGTGTGCAGCGTTTTCGTTTTGTGCGCACGGCAACACTTACTGTGGGGAATTTCGCCTGATGATTAGAAATAAGTCTTCTCGGGGATAAAATTTATATAATTGTGCTATTTATGAACAAAATGTATGTTAAATATAGTATCAATGCTTAATTAAGAGTAATATCAATAGTTAAGTACATAATTAACGCTTGTGTTTCTATAAAAAAAAGCGTGAATTTTGTGTATCTATCANTATTAATGGTTAAGTACATAATTAACGCTTGTGTTTTTATAAAAAACGTGAATTTTGTGTATTTATCAAAAAAACTCTAAATTTTATTTAGATCTTTATTCCAAAAACACAAGGTTTGTTTAGTTAAAGAGATTCCAATGCCGCCCAGCGCATTTGCCCAGACAGCTCATTAAGCACACCCAAGTTTGAGCGGAACTCCCCAAAAATACATAACATCAAAGTATAGAATATCACAAATATGAATCATACACACATACAATAGCAATTGTTGTGAATTGCTACCGTATAAATTCAAGACACGCATTTAGTTGGAGAGTACGTTGGTTATGGCGGTCATAAGTTCAGCCAACACATTCAATGGTCCATTACGCGGAGCTGTTCCAATATAATGAGTAAATTTTAGTGAACCTCACAAGCCACTGCCTCTGGCTACAAGCTGGATATCTGAATATTGGAAAATAAATAGCAATTATCTTTTTAAAATGATAAGAAAAGTGTTTGTTTACAAAATTACCTATGCCACTCTGCCTTAGTACGGTTATTGCTCCCTTTCATACCACAGTAATTTTATATGCAACTCTGAATCAGCAAAATTCATGCTCCTTCTCATTATCAACCCTGATCAGATTTTACCCCCGAAGAGTACTCAAAAAGGTTTATTACTGTATATACTGTGTTACCAAGAAATAGAAACTCACCGCGATGCGATACAGAAAGAAAGAAAACCAACAGGGCTGCATTTTCTTGGTAAACAACACAAGCGCTCAGAGCAATCTGATCCGCAATATTATTTTTTGAAAAATAAGAGTTGAAAAGAGTTTTTAAACATGATTATCACATTATCTAATTAGCGCACACTATTGTGTTTATTTTTAGTAGATATAATTGTATTATCTCCGACTTTTGTTCAATGTTTTCTAATATTTGTTCTTTTGGCATGCAAAAGCAACCATGCGCTCAATTTCTTGTGGGGAAATTTGGTCCCCATTGAGGACTTCCACCACGAAACAGCTACAAAAACCAAAACCTTTTCTACTGGTATACTGTGAGTCAAGGATGACATGATATGAAACTCTCTCATTTTGCTTCCGAGAATCTAACTTAAACTCGTTTTCTGACTTGGCAGCACTGTCAAATAAAGTTGGACTGAACAGCTGACAAGCAAAATAGCGAGCTGCCCCTAGATACGCACAAAAAACACCGATTTAATTCTAATGGATTTCTTGCAAACACATTAAAAAATTATGCTTAAAGATAGTGTTTGCAAGAGAAAACATTTTATATGTTAATTTTTAACACTAAATAATTAAGAAGATACTGAACATCTAAAATATTTTCTTGTTTGGTTAAATAAAAAAATTCACAAAAATTTGCTCAATAAATCTCCCAACATTATTTTCGCTGCTGTCGCAATATTGGGGGATGTTATAAAAATGAACCTTTTCACAGCGCTCTCACAAGAAAAAGAGTTTCGTATCATGTCATCTTTTCTGTGAGCAGTGTTGCCAGAACTTTTTGGGCCGACCGGCTAGATTGGCAAAAAAAAAGCGGCTAAAAACGGCTAAAATGTTTTAGTGAAATTTCACATAGACTCTGGCAAAAAACGGCTAAAATGTTTTAGTGAAAATCCACATGCTTTATTTAAATAAATCGCAAGAAACGAAAGACTAGTTAACACCATTAATTTATATCGAGTGTATATTCCTCATCATCAAATGAATCACTATTGTATATATCACCTGAATTCATTAATTTTAAGAGATCGTCATCTACA